TCGGGCGTTTGCTCACGACTTGTCTGCGGACAAGCTGTCCCCCCGTGCTGTTCCCTACGTCTTCCTTGGCTTCCCCCCTGACGCGCCTGGTTGGCAGTTTTACCACCCCACCTCGCGCCGTGTTCTGTCCTCCCAAGACGTCACCTTTGACGAGTCGGTGCCTTACTACCGTCTCTTCCCCTACCGCACTGCGCCCCTCCCCCCGCCGCCGCTCTTCCTTGCGCCAGTTCCCCCCCCGGTAGACCCTCTCCCCCCTCAGTGTCCTGCCCCGTCAAGTGTGTCCCAGGTAGACGCAGTCGAGCCTGTCGAGGTAGCTGGTGACTGTGGTGCTGCTAGGAGTGCTGAGCCTTGGGGTCCTGAGTCTGGGGGTGCTGAGTCTGGGGGTGCTGAGCTTGGGGGTGCTGAGCCTATGGGTGCGGAGCCTGGGGGTACGGAGCCTGGGGGTGCTGAGCCTGGGGGTGCGGAGCGTGGGGGTGCGGAGCGTGGGGGTGCTGGGTCTGCTCGTGTGGCCTCTGGCGGTACTGGGTTTGGGGAACCTTCGGGTGCTTCGTCGAGGCGGGAGCTACCCTCTCCACAGGAGCTGCACGAGTGGTTTGCCCGGCGCTGGAGCCGTGCTGCTTGAGCTGGAGGTACTCCTGTTGCTGCTGACCCTGGGGCGACACTGGAGTTACTGGAGCCACTGGTCCTGGAGGTGCTCGTACTGGCGGTACTGGAGCTGCTGGGTGTGGGGGTGCTGCTGGTGCTGCTGGAGGTACTAGAGGTACTGCAGCTACTGGGCCTGGTGCTCCTGGTGCTGGCGCTGCTGGCGGTGCTGGAGCGGGCGGTCCTGCTGGAGTTGGTGCTGCTGGAGCTGCTGGAGCTGGAGCTGCTGGGGGTGCTGGCGCTGGAGGTGCTGTTGGCGCTGGTGCTTCTGAGGGTGCTGGAGTTGGCGCTGTTGGAGCTGGAGGTGCTGCTGGCACTAGTACTGCCGCTGGGGGTGCTGGTGCTGTCCCTGCTGGTTCTGGAGGCGCTGCGCGGCCGCGGCCGTACTTCGTTCCGCTCCTTGAGCAGGTTCTTGGTCTCCCGCCTTCTACTGGTCCTGCTCCTTCCTTAGAGTGTCCACAGCCTGTCCAGTCGCAGTCACAGTTACAGCCCGCCTCCCCCTTGCCTGCTCCTTCTCCCTACACTGGTCCTACTGGAGGTCTTGCTGAGCGTCGTAAGTCTGCGTCTCGTCCTGCGTCGCCTGTTCGTGCTGCTCGCACTAGTAGTCGTGTTCCGCGTCCGCGTCCTCCTGCGGTCCCAGGCACACACCACATGGCACTGCGTCCTTCCACTGCTCCTCTGCGTGTCCTGTTGCCGTCTCCTCTAGAGTCCTCTCTTCCTGTTCTTGCTGACCCGGAGTCTGACTCTCTTCGTGCTGCCAGTCCTACTATCACGCGTCTTCTCGCTACTCTTGTCACTGACCCTTCCTTTGAGTCCACTGCTGCGTCTGCCTTAGTTGCTGAGCTTGTCGACTTTGCTGCGCGCTGTCGTCTACACTAGTCTTGTTGCTGAGTCTGAGTCTATCTGTCCTCCGTCCATCGGGGGTGAGTGTGCTCTTAGCACGGACGTCCTTGAGGACAGGCAAGAGGAGTTCCAGTGTTTTGCTGCTGCTTTGCCTCATCTCGTGTCCACGCTGATTGCCCCTGAGGGAGGCTCGGATGCACTAGACATCCCGACTCCTCGATCGTACGCTGAGGCGATCGAGGATCCCTACTCCTCTTAGTGGCAATCAGCCATGGACGCAGAGATGGCTTCCTGGAAGTCCACAGGCACCTACGTCGACGAGGTTCCCCCACCTGGGGCAACATCGTCAGTGGCATGTGGATTTTCAGGGTGAAGCGGCCGCCGCGTTCTCCACTTGTCTTCAAGGCGCGTTACGTGGCTCGAGGCTTCAGTCAGCGGCAGGGAGTTGACTACTTTCAGACCTTCTCTCCCACCCCGAAGATGACCACTCTTCGGGTGCTGCTGCACATAGCCGCTCAGCGCGACTACGAGCTTCACTCTTTTGACTTCAGTACAGCTTTCCTGCAGGGCAGCCTGCACGAGGAGATCTGGCTGCGCCGCCCACCTGACTTCATTGGGTCGTTTCCTCCTGGTACTTAGTGGAGCCTCCGGCGGCCAGTCTACGGTCTCCGCCAGGCGCCCCGTGAGTGGCACGACACACTGAGGACTACACTTGCGGCTCTTGGGTTTGCTCCTTCTACTGCCGACCCGTCGCTGTTTCTGCGCACCGACACCTCTTTGCCGCCGTTCTACATCCTCGTGTACGTCGACGACTTGGTCTTTGCCACTGCTGACACTGCTGGACTCGCCCACGTGAAGTCCGAGCTGCAGAAGAGACACACGTGCACAGACCTGAGTGAACTGCGCAGCTACCTTGGCTTGCAGATCACCCGGGACAGAGCACGCCGCACCATTACCCTGACTCAGTCACACATGGTGCAGCAGGTCCTTCAGCGCTTCGACTTCACGTACTCCTCGCCTCAGGCCACTCCTCTGTCTACTCGCCACTCGCTCTCAGCTCTGCCTTTGGATGAGTCCGTAGAGCCGAGTGGCCCGTACCCAGAACTTGTTGGCTGCCTTATGTACCTGATGACCTGCACTCGACCTGACCTTGCATACCCTCTTAACGTTGAGAAAAACGATTTATGTCTAGTGAGGACTAGGCTAATATGGGGCATTTTTGCCTCAGTGCTTCTATATCATAAGCGTGCTCAAACATACAGCTCCTACTATAACAACAATTACCACAAGCCATCTACTAGTCTAGCAATGACCTAACCTGCAGGCACCCACGCCACTTCTACGCCCACCATGAACCATGTGGTTAGAACACAAGAATTCGTTGCAGTGCACACTATCATTGCGCTCCATGACATCAATGAAGATGATCCCTTAAACCTCGTGGTAGACCAATACAACAATTACCTGGTGGATACCACGGGGTCAAGAGAACGATGTCGGAGGTGGCACACCCGACCACGTCGACAAGATCTCCGAAATCGACGACAGTGGCAACTGTACACGGGTTCACCTTATGAGAAATACGATCACTACCTATGACATCCCTACAGACGGACATGCACGTATTCACTAGACTTTATCGGAGATGTAGCAACTGGTACAAGCCCGTGTGGACTTGAATGTAGAGTGGGACTTTATGAGGGGAGTTCAAGGAACAAACTACCAGACTTCCCTTCATCAGCTACTCCTCAAACGTCACCCGCAATTTTAATTACTGTCGCAGTCGCACAGCGCTACCTGCCCACTTGGTACCCTTAGATGGACTCCATCCAAGGAAATTGGCCTGTGATGCAGCCACTGCACCGTGTGACAAGTGGTCCCGCCACTACAGCTCCGAATGTATGCCGCCCACGGTAACTTACAATTAACTCGTAACAGCACTACCGTATCCCCCCGGATATACCCCCATGGGGGGCAATAATAAAACAGGTTTTTTCATGGGGGTGGGCTTATAATCGAGTAAATTTATAAGCGCCGGCGTTTATAAAATGACATACATATTTTTTATATCTTTTAACACCAAACTGTAGGTCTCGTGCTTGCCTTTTCAATCGAGTCGAAGTTACATGGGATCGTCTGTGAAATTCTCGCGCGCGCTGGGAGATACACCCAATCTGACTCACATCCAGCTCCTGATAGGTCCTGCTGACTGGACCCGCATCCAGTGCAGGGTCCGAATGTGAAGGGAACCGAATCTGCAACATATCCGCCTGCTAAAGTAAAAATCGTTACAGCTTTTTGAACACATTTCAAATTTTAAAGTTTACGTGCGCTTATAATAAAACAAGTTTTTTCAAGGGGTGCGCTTATAATCGAGGAGGGGATATAAGCGCCATATGCCAATTAGAAGCGCCAGGCGCTTATCCTAGGGTGGCGCTTATATCCGGGGGGAGACGGTACTATACAAGTTGCCCGCTAGTCCTGATCCCCTATTTGTATTAACCCGTCGCCAAAATCCCCGCCCTATCCCTCTTACAGGTACCACCCCGACAACACCCAGCGCGGTTGGGCCCATCAGGTCCCACCGTTTAGGTGCACGCTGGGGCAAACCCACCTCAAGCCGAAACAAGTTTGGATGCCACAATCCGTGCAGCTGCCACTAGTGGCGGCTCCTTCGTTGGGAGGGTGTCACGCAACACTACGGTTGATGCCCCGCTGACCCCTCGCATTGCCATCTCTTATACATGTGCGCCACCGAGCCCTCCTACTGCCTCCACGCCCCCAGTGATTATGTCAACAGGCACCAGGCACCAAGGGAGCCTGAGTTCCAAGACTGGGGTGAGGATGCCTCCTGTAAAGCCGTGCCAACACGCAACACGTGAGTTATTAACACAGCGCTAGATATTGGCGGGCTGGCCATTGCAAACGCTATGGCCGAAAACATAGCATCTGCTATAAACTTCGCGGTTAATCGTGCATGCGACCTTTTTGAGGAACGCAGTGAGGGGACGGTCAACCACATCTGTCCTCGTCACGTGGAGGGCCGGCCTTTGGACGAGTCCCAAGAAGATTATCTACATTGTGCAGGCAACAATATGCCCCACGAGTCCGCATCACCTTGTTTGGGCGCGAGGCCGTTGAAAATTCTGACTTTCCCTTTCAAGCTTCTGTTTATCTGCTCCACTGTCATTCGCGCCCTGCTTTGCTGTTTGTTGAAAATAGCCTTGTCATTGCGCAGATTCCTGCCTAAAGAAACTTTGTAGGGTAGTAGCACACAAAAATTGTTAAAGCGCTAAAAACGCCAAAGCCTCTCACTAATCGTCGACTCCACTGGGGATCGAACCCAGAATCTCTGGTTCCGTAGACCAGCGCCTTATCCATTGGGCCATGGAGTCATGACATCAGGGATTCTAATATAAATTCTATTTAGGTAACTGGGCAGCTCCTCCAGAGTTGATGGAGATGGCAGATAGTGGGGCTAAAGGACCTGGAGAGAATAGGGCTGCATGCACGAGCTAGACAGCACGGGCAGAAAGGGCGGCACAAGCCACAGCAGGGGCGGCAGAGGCCACAGCAGAAGCAGGGGTGGCGGATGCCGCAGCAGGGGTGGCGGAGGCCGTCGGAGAGGCTGAAGAAGGGGGAGCAGGAGCCGCACCGGGAACGACAAGTGCTGCTGCGGATGGGGCTGCATAAGCACCAGGACGTGCCTCAGGACCTGCTACAAAAGCGGATGCTCCTGGTTTGGTGCGGAAGGCTGCAGATGGGGCTGCAGGAACAATAGCGGGCAGGGCTGTAGGAGCACCTGCCACAATGAACTTTACACTGTATCCTTCAAGATTTCCGTGCATATTTTATCATGTCGTCGTGGGTTGCAAACACTATCATTATTATCGTTACTACTCACAGATTCCAAGTTTAGCTTAATTCCCAAAGCAGCCTGTTCAGTCCTCACCAGCATTACCAGTACCATCGCCCCCATCATCACTAGCGCTAGCATCAGCAGCATCATCAGGCTTGGCTTCCACAGCAGCAGCAGGCTTGGCTTCCCCAGCAGCACCTGGCTTGGCATCCTCCTGGGGGAGGCACAACTGGCGCAGGTTGTACTTGGCAAGGGCCTTGAAATCGGTGAGGATGGAGATGAAACAGATGGTCTAGGGGAGAGAGAGGGAGGGAGAGAATAGGGTGGGGTGGGGGAGTGGAGGGGTTTAAGAGTAATATGGGGATGGGATAAACATTGTGCACTTGGCAAACAAATGGTCTGGGGAAGAGAGGGAATGGAGGGGTTGAATAGGGGAAACTGGAGAATGAGTCAAGTGAGGGAGAGGCTTGGCTTGGCTTCCCCAGTAGCACCAGGTTTGGCTTCCTCCTGGGGGAGGCACAACTGGCACAGGTTGTACTTGGCCAGGGCTTTAAGTCTGTGAGGATGGAGATGAAACAGATGGTCTGGGAGAGAGAGAGAGGGAGTGGAGGGATGGAATGGGGGACACTGAGAACACGAGTTCAGTGAGAGAGAGGGCAGGGGAGATAACAAGAGTAAAAAGTGACGGAAGTTAGCCTGGAAAATTTGGTTGACGAACCCCATTAAAAAGTGGCTTCGCCCGGACTTGAACCGGAGACCTTCAGTGTGTTAGACTGACGTGATAACCAACTACACCACGAAACCACATGTTGAAGGATTGGAATATCTCTTTTCAACCGTCCTGACCAAGCAACAGCAAGTTGAACTTGGGGGGAAATAAGACTGCCATTCAAAGAAGCCAACAAAAACAAAATCAACTGCACGTTTGGCAAGAAGCAAACTATCCACCAAGCAGACTACACCAGTAACATACGCCACCTCAAACCACACAAACTAGATATATGGGGTACAGGCACCAGATTGGCATACCATTTGTTCATAAATTTACAGCTTGTACATGCATCCATGCATGTCATATGTTCACCATTTGCAGCATGATGGTCTTGCCCAAGTTGTTTAAGTTCACTATATGGGGTACATGCCCCAGCCTGGCATACCATGGTCAATGAACACACAGCATGCATGCATGCCATACCTTCCCCACTTGCAGCAAGATGGTCTTGTCAGGATGGCGGAGATTCACTCTATGGGGGTACACGCCCTAGCTTGACATACCATGCTACACGTCCAATCTTTTGAGTCGACTCAAAATTCACCTCATGATGGTCTTGTCAGGACGGCAGAGATCCACTCTATGCAGAGCAGGCAGCAGCATGATAAACCATACCATGATTGATAAACACACAGCATGGTGCACGCATGTATGCATGTCGTACCTTCACCATTTGCAGCATGATGGGCTTGTCTGATTTGCTGACATCCACTCTAGGCGATGCAGGCACCGGATTGATATACCATACCATCACGATCAATAAACACACAGCATGGTGCATGAGCAGACCATCACATGTCGCATGCACACACAGCATGGTGCATACATGCATGCATGTCATACCTTCACCACTTGAAGCATGATGGTCTTGTCTGGGTTGCCAAGATCCACTTTATGCAGAGCAGGCACCAGCTTGGTATACCATGCCTATGAATTTACAGCCCGGTGCATGCATGTCGTACCTTCACCACTTGCAACATGATGGTCTTGTCTGGGTTTCGGAGGTCCACTCTATGCGGAGCAGGCACCAGCTTAGCATACCACAGACCATGAACACTCTGCATGGGCATGTATGCATGTCGTACCTTCACCACTTGCAGCATGATGGTCTTGTCTGGGTTCCGGAGGTCCACTTTATGCGGAGCGGGCACCAGCTTAGCATACCACAGACCATAAACACTCTGCATGGGCATGTATGCATGTCGTACCTTCACCACTTGCAGCATGATGGTCTTGTCTGGGTTCCGGAGGTCCACTTTATGCGGAGCAGGCACCAGCTTGGCAACAGTGTCGATCACGCCCGCTCTCTCAAGCCCTTCGTTGGCTCGCTTCTCAAATATGATTCCGAACTGTACAGGAAAGAGGAGGCATGTAACGGGATGCAAGGGGTGCCTATAAAGAGGATGTATGCTGAACCCGGAAGAGAAAGGTCAAGCCCTTAGTTGGCTCGATTCTCAATTATGATTCCAAACGGTACAGGAAAGAGGAAGCATGTCATGGAATACAAGGTGAGCCTATAAATTGGATGCACACTGAATCACGAAGGTTGACTTTTGAATCGACTCAAAAGTCAACTGGTGAGACAAAAAGAGGATGTATGCTGAACCCAGGAGGGAAAGGTCAAGCTCTGTATCGACCAAAAATTCCAGCTGTACAAACTGGAAAGTAAACCTCAGAGGAAGAATATAATAAGTAAAAATAGCTCCGGCGTTTGGTATTAGTGATGTGTAGTTTAAAGAAGCGAAGGAACTTCTCACTGAGGTGTGTTTTGAGGCGCCTCAAAGAAGCGAAGGAACTTCTCACTGAGGTGTGTTTTGAGGCGCCTCAAAGAAGCGAAGGAACTTCTCACTGAGGTGTGTTTTGAGGCGCCTCAAAGAAGCGAAGGAACTTCTCACTGAGGTGTGTTTTGAGGCGCCTCAAAGAAGCGAAGGAACTTCTCACTGAGGTGTGTTTTGAGGCGCCTCAAAGAAGCGAAGGAACTTCTCACTGAGGTGTGTTTTGAGGCGCCTCAAAGAAGCGAAGGAACTTCTCACTGAGGTGTGTTTTGAGGCGCCTCAAAGAAGCGAAGGAACTTCTCACTGAGGTGTGTTTTGAGGCGCCTCAAAGAAGCGAAGGAACTTCTCACTGAGGTGTGTTTTGAGGCGCCTCAAAGAAGCGAAGGAACTTCTCACTGAGGTGTGTTTTGAGGCGCCTCAAAGAAGCGAAGGAACTTCTCACTGAGGTGTGTTTTGAGGCGCCTCAAAGAAGCGAAGGAACTTCTCACTGAGGTGTGTTTTGAGGCGCCTCAAAGAAGCGAAGGAACTTCTCACTGAGGTGTGTTTTGAGGCGCCTCAAAGAAGCGAAGGAACTTCTCACTGAGGTGTGTTTTGAGGCGCCTCAAAGAAGCGAAGGAACTTCTCACTGAGGTGTGTTTTGAGGCGCCTCAAAGAAGCGAAGGAACTTCTCACTGAGGTGTGTTTTGAGGCGCCTCAAAGAAGCGAAGGAACTTCTCACTGATTTGCACTTCATCAACTTATGCAGACCTCATTTTCTGATTTTCTTGTTTACCTTTGGTTTTATGATGACTAAGTGCACATGACGCAAATAATGGGTGGGATGTGTTGTTGTGCGCCTATAGGGAGGATGTGCATGGAGGGTTGTGCGCCTATAACGGAGGAGCATGGGGGGTTGTGCGCCTATAACGGAGGAGCATGGGGGGTTGTGCGCCTATAACGGAGGAGCATGGGGGGTTGTGCGCCTATAGGGAGGATGTGCATGGGGGGTTGTGCGCATACAGGGAGGATGTGCATGGGGGGGTGTGCGCCTATAGGGAGGATGTGCATAGGGGGGATGAGCGCCTATAGGAATCATGAGGACACCAACGCACACCTTTTGAGTCGACTTGAAAAGGGCGTGGGCGTCTAAGCATCAAAGCCTTAAAGCCTGAACACACACCTTGAAGCGGAAAGAACGCGAGCAAGGCCGTACCGAGGATGAACAGTGACCTATCGCAATGCAAACCCCCTACCAAGCGACCATAATCATACATACCGTTGATCCCTTGGGTTGGGCCTCGGACGTGTCGCTTGCTGATTGGCCCACCAGGGGGAAGTGGGTGGCAATGAGAGGCTTGATGGCTGAGGCGATCTCCTCCTGGGAGGCGTAGCACGTGGTTTCCACTGGGAGCAGGCGAAGGGTGAAGCTGTGATGGGGAGGTGAATGAAGCGAAGGGAGGGAAGAAGAAGGGAGGTTGTTAGCGGCAATGACGAGGATAACTGGCCGAGGCAATCTCCTCCTGGGAGGCGTAGCAGGTGGTTTTCACTGGCAGCAGGCGGAGGGTGAAGCTGAGGTGGGGGAGGGGAGGGTTGAATGGTGCAGAGCGGAGAAGGGAGAGCAGGCTGGTTGGCAAAAGGCGGAGGGGGAGGATACATGCTCTTCGAATCTCCTCCTGGGAGGCGTAGCACGTTTCACAGGCAGCAGCCGGAGGGTGAAACAGTGAAGGGAAGGAAGGGGAAGCGGAAGGGGGGTGAAGGGAGAGGAATCAGTAAGGTTTCTGCTGGGAGGCACAGCAGCCACTGGGAGGCACAGCAACCACTGGGAGGAACAGCAGGTGGTTTCAACTGGCAGCAGCCAGAGGGAGATGCTGTGAGGAGACAATGTGGAGGATATGGGAGAAGGGAGAGGGATAGGCGTAGTGGCAAAAGGGAGGAGGATACAAAAAAACTGGCAGCAGACGAAGGGGTACGGAAACAAGGAGCAGCAGATGAAGATGAAGCTGGGAAGGTGAATGGAGCAGAGGGGAGAAGGGGTGGGGATATGAGGAAGGAGAGGATTCACGGCTTCCTGGATGGTGGTCATTTATATAGACCTGGGTACACGCCTTATAGCCTGGGTTCATTCATGGCTTGTCAATCTCCTCCTGGGAGGCGTAGAATGTTGTTTCCACTGGCAGCAGACAGGGGTGAAGCTGGGGAGGTGGGTGTCAGAACTAGAGCTTCGAGTCCATGCATTGGTAATGAGCTTGAAGCTCTTTAAGTACATCCAGAATGAGCAAGGAATGGATGGGGAGGGAATCAGGGGCGATCTCTAGGAATTGGGGGTAATCCAAAGGCAATCTCCAATTGCTGGGTTGGAGATTGCTTGAAGATCACATTGGGGTTTGGTTGGGATGTGGGTTTACCCAACCAAACACATAGTGCAAACTACACTAAACTAGGATATAGAAAGTACAAAATGTGAGATTGAGGGCTAACACTAACCGTGGGGAGTCTCAAATACACCCTCATTTCACGTGAAGCTGGGGAGGTGGGGAGAGTGGGGTTTGGAAAGGTGGTGTAGATAGTGCGTAGGGGAGAGGGGAGAGGAGTTTGAGTGGTTCTGTAAGGTTCCGTCTGGGAGGCATAACACGCAGGGTGAAGCTGGGAATGTGGGGGATTGGGGTGGGTGGGGAGGGGGGGCCATAACAACAGCCACCTCACACCCACCTGCTCACACCCACCTGCTCACACCCACCTGCTCACACCCACCTGCTCACACCCACCTGCTCACACCCACTGCCCCACACCCACTGCCCCACATTCACTGCCCCACACCCACTGCCTCACACCCACTGCCCCACACCCACTGCCTCACACCCACTGCCTCACACCCACTGACTCACATCCACTGCCTCACACCCACTGCCTCACACCCACTGCCTCACACCCACTGCCCCACACCCACTGCCTCACACCCACTGCCTCACACCCACTGCCCCACACCCACTGCCTCACACCCACTGCCCCACATTCACTGCCTCACACCCACTGCCCCACATTCACTGCCCCACACCCACTGTCCCACAACCACTGCCCCTCATTCACTGCCCCACACCCACTGCCTCACACCCACTGCCCCACACCCACTGCCTCACACCCACTGCCCCACACCCACTGCCCCACACCCACTGCCTCACACCCACTGCCCCACACCCACTGCCTCACACCCACTGCCCCACACCCATTGCCCCACACCCACTGCCCCACACCCACTGCCCCACACCCACTGCCTCACACCCACTGCCTCACACCCACTGCCTCACACCCACTGCCTCACACCCACTGCCAACACCCACTGCCCCACACCCACTGCCCCACACCCACTGCCCCACACCCACTGCCCCACACCCACTGCCCCACACCCACTGCCTCACACCCACTGCCCCACACCCACTGCCACACACCCACTGCCTAACACCCACTGCCTCACACCCACTGCCTCACACCCACTGCCCCACACCCACTGCCCCACACCCACTGCCTCACACCCACTGCCTCACACCCACTGCCTCACACCCACTGCCCCACACCCACTGCCCCACACTCACTGCCTCACACCCACTGCCTCACACCCACTGCCTCACACCCACTGCCTCACATCCACTGCCTCACACTCACTGCCTCACACCCACTGCCTCACACCCACTGCCCCACACCCACTGCCTCACACCCACTGCCTCACACCCACTGCCCCACACCCACTGCCTCACACCCACTGCCCCACATTCACTGCCTCACACCCACTGCCCCACATTCACTGCCCCACACCCACTGCCCCACACCCACTGCCCCACACCCACTGCCCCACACCCACTGCCTCACACCCACTGCCCCACACCCACTGCCCCACACCCACTGCCCCACACCCACTGCCCCACACCCACTGCCCCACACCCACTGCCTCACACCCACTGCCTCACACCCACTGCCTCACACCCACTGCCTCACACCCACTGCCCCACACCCACTGCCCCACACCCACTGCCCCACACCCACTGCCCCACACCCACTGCCCCACACCCACTGCCCCACACCCACTGCCTCACACCCACTGCCCCACACCCACTGCCTCACACCCACTGCCTCACACCCACTGCCTCACACCCACTGCCTCACACCCACTGCCCCACACCCACTGCCCCACACCCACTGCCTCACACCCACTGCCCCACACCCACTGCCTCACACCCACTGCCCCACACCCATTGCCCCACACCCACTGCCCCACACCCACTGCCCCACACCCACTGCCTCACACCCACTGCCTCACACCCACTGCCTCACACCCACTGCCTCACACCCACTGCCCCACACCCACTGCCCCACACCCACTGCCCCACACCCACTGCCCCACACCCACTGCCCCACACCCACTGCCCCACACCCACTGCCTCACACCCACTGCCCCACACCCACTGCCACACACCCACTGCCTAACACCCACTGCCTCACACCCACTGCCTCACACCTACTGCCCCACACCCACTGCCCCACACCCACTGCCTCACACCCACTGCCTCACACCCACTGCCTCACAACCACTGCCCCACACCCACTGCCCCACACCCACTGCCCCACACCAACTGCCCCACACCCACTGCCTCACACCCACTGCCTCACACCCACTGCCTCACACCCACTGCCTCACACCCACTGCCTCACATCCACTGCCTCACACTCACTGCCTCACACCCACTGCCTCACACCCACTGCCTCACACCCACTGCCTCACATCCACTGCCTCACACTCACTGCCTCACACCCACTGCCTCACACCCACTGCCCCACACCCACTGCCTCACACCCACTGCCTCACACCCACTGCCCCACACCCACTGCCTCACACCCACTGCCTCACACCCACTGCCCCACATTCACTGCCTCACACCCACTGCCCCACATTCACTGCCCCACACCCACTGCCCCACACCCACTGCCCCACACCCACTGCCCCACACCCACTGCCTCACACCCACTGCCCCACACCCACTGCCCCACACCCACTGCCCCACACCCACTGCCCCACACCCACTGCCCCACACCCACTGCCTCACACCCACTGCCTCACACCCACTGCCTCACACCCACTGCCTCACACCCACTGCCTCACACCCACTGCCCCACACCCACTGCCTCACACCCACTGCCTCACACCCACTGCCCCACACCCACTGCCTCACACCCACTGCCTCACACCCACTGCCCCACATTCACTGCCTCACACCCACTGCCCCACATTCACTGCCCCACACCCACTGCCCCACACCCACTGCCCCACACCCACTGCCCCACACCCACTGCCTCACACCCACTGCCCCACACCCACTGCCCCACACCCACTGCCCCACACCCACTGCCCCACACCCACTGCCCCACACCCACTGCCTCACACCCACTGCCTCACACCCACTGCCTCACACCCACTGCCTCACACCCACTGCCCCACACCCACTGCCCCACACCCACTGCCCCACACCCACTGCCCCACACCCACTGCCCCACACCCACTGCCCCACACCCACTGCCTCACACCCACTGCCCCACACCCACTGCCTCACACCCACTGCCTCACACCCACTGCCTCACACCCACTGCCTCACACCCACTGCCCACACCCACTGCCCCACACCCACTGCCTCACACCCACTGCCTCACACCCACTGCCTCACACCCACTGCCCCACACCCACTGCCCCACACCCACTGCCCCACACCCACTGCCCCACACCCACTGCCTCACACCCACTGCCTCACACCCACTGCCTCACACCCACTGCCTCACACCCACTGCCTCACACCCACTGCCCCACACCCACTGCCCCACACCCACTGCCCCACACCCACTGCCCCACACCCACTGCCTCACACCCACTGCCTCACACCCACTGCCTCACACCCACTGCCTCACACCCACTGCCTCACACCCACTGCCCCACACCCACTGCCTCACACCCACTGCCCCACACCCACTGCCCCACACCCACTGCCTCACACCCACTGCCTCACACCCACTGTCTCACACCCACTGCCCCACACCCACTGCCTCACACCCACTGCCCCACACCCACTTCCTCACACCCACCTGCTCACACCCACTGCCCCACACCCACTACCCCACACCCACCGAGTGGCTGACTGCTGGGTGGCCTTGGCATGCCGCAGCACCGCCTCTGCCAACTCACACGGCGACACCCTTCCCTGCTCTCCCCCTGCCTCCTCTTTCTCCCCCTCCCCTCCCTGTCCCTCCTTCTCCGGTTCCTTCTCTTCTCCTCCTGTAACCTCTTCCTCCTGCTCTTTCTCCTGCTCCTTTTCCCCGGCCTTATCCCCCTCCTTCCCCTCCTTGTCTCCTTCACCCTTCTCCTCCTCCTTTTCCCCTTCCTCCGTCTTCCCCACCTCCTCCTTCTCACCCTCCTCCTCCTTCTCCTCTCCCTCCTCCAACTGCTTTCCTCCCTTCTCTCCCTTCCCCCCCTTCCTGGCATCCTCTCTAATCCTCACGAACAGCAGTGCCTTGCACCCAGACTCCACACTCACGAACCGAGGCTGAGGGATGTCAAGGGGCGGGCGAATGGTAGGGGCAAGGGGAGGGAGAAAGACGAGTGGAGGGAGAAAGACGAGCGGAGGGAGAGGAGACGTGATTGGAAATTCCACTGAGCATTCTCACGAACAGCAGCGCCTTGCACCCAGAGTCCACACTCGCGAACCAAGGCTGTGGGATGTCGAGGGGAGGGCAAACAGCAGGGGCAAGGGGAGGGAGAAAGACGAGCAGAGAAAGGGGAGTGAGAGGGAGAGGGAGGGGTGATGATGGATCCTCAGAAACAGCGCCGCCTTGCACCTAGACTCCACACTCACAAACCGAGGCTGAGAGGTCTTAGTTACGGTATAGCCTCCGGCTAGCGTTGAAGGTAGTAAATGCTTGGAGAGAATTTCTGGTTTTTCAGGACTGATTTCACTCAAAACAGAGAAGTACAAAGAACTGATTGAAAACAAACACATTTAAGCATTTCGAAATGTGATGTGCGCCTCGCGTAACGCGTCATCCGCGTTTCAGCCCGAGTCGCACGCGGAACCGATTTCAGTAACTGACACCGGAACCGAAACCTGGTTGTCTCATTCGCACCGAACACGGTTCGGTTGCGGTTGGACATTTTAGGTTACGGAAATGTCTTCTCGACATTTCCTGAAACCCACTCTCCCACCATTCCGTTTTTCCCGCCTTCTTCTCGCCTTCCCTCCTTAGCTCCTTAGCATGCAGCCCCACCGTTATAGCTGTCGGTTTTCCTCATTAGGTCGACATTTCCCACCGTTCCTAGTGTCGTGCTACCATCCCTAGGTGAAGCGCGTAGGTCGGTAGGCACTAGGGCAGTGGCGAACCACCCTAACAAGAGGGAAGGGGAGGGACAAGACGAGGGACAAAGGAAAAAAAAAACGTTTTTTCTGAAACAGCAGTGCCTTGCACCCAGACTCCACACTCACGAACCGAGGCTGAGGGATGTCAAGGGGCGGGCGAACAGGAGGGGCGAGGGGAGGGCAAACGGTAGGGGCAAGGGGAGGGAGAAAGACGATGGGAGAGAGAGGAGGAGCGATAAGGGTTTCCACTTAGCATTCTCGCAAACAGCGGCGCCTTGCAGCCAGCGAGAGTCCAAACAGCAGCGCCTTGCAGCCAGCGAGACTCCACACCCCGAAGTGAGACCAGGTGAGAGCGTTCAGTCAGGTGACTTTTGAGTCGACTCAAAAGTCATCAGGTGAGTGAGAGCGTTCAGGACAAGGGGAGGGACAAGACGAGGGGCAAGGGGAGGAAGAGGGAGGGAAAAGAGGATTGCGAGAGAGGGAAGTGATGGGTGTTTGTGCTGGGCATTTATGCGAACAGCAGCGCCTTGCACCCAGACTACACACTCATGAACCGAGGCTGAGGGGCATGCACAAGGAAGGGAGGGAGAAGAGAAAGGAGGGAACAAGGAGGCGAGGATGCACAAGGGGAACAAAACAGGGGCACCTGGTAGCCTGAGACGTCTCAAAACAGGGGCACCTGGTAGCCTGAGACGTCTCAAAACAGGGGCACCTGGTAGCCTGAGACGTCTCAAAACAGGGGCACCTGGTAGCCTGAGACGTCTCAAAACAGGGGCACCTGGTAGCCTGAGGTCACGATTGCAATCGAGCCTGGGGGACACAGGGAGAGGGAGGGATACGAGGGGAGGGAGTGGGAGGGAGATAAGGGGAGGGTGAAGGAACAACAAGGGGAAAGGAGGGAAAAGGCACCCACCTACCCATCCCACGCACCTGTGAGCCGCTGCAAAACACACACACCTGTTTCCTCAACCCCCTCTCCACACGCACGCACCTGTTTCTTGAGTGCTGCCACTTCATTCGCCAGCAGCGCATCGATGGACGAACCCCCCTTCGCCTTCCCTGCAGATGCACCTTCCCCAGTCCGTGCCTCCCCCTCCCCCTCCCCCTGCGCCTTGCCAGCCTCCAGCTTGTCACACCACTGTGTGTGGGGCAAACAGGGATAAAGCAACATCATCTCAGTCAGATAAGCCCTCCCCAGCCACCTTCCCCAGTGCTTGCCTCCCCCTCAGCCCGCACCTTCATGGGCACCAGATTGTCGCTCAACGGTGTGTGGGGCAAGCAGTGGAGATGGAAGGAGTAGGAACAACATCAGCTCAGTTAGAAAAGCCCTCCCCAGCCACCTTCCCCAGTGCTTGCCTCACCCTACCCGTTCCTCTGCGCCTTGCTGCCTCCAGCTTGTCACACCACTGTGTGTGGGGCGAACAGAGGAGAAAGCAACATCAGCTCAGTCAGATAAGCCCTCCCCAGCCACCTTCCCCAGTGCTTGCCTCCCCCTCAGCCCGCGCCTTCACGGGCACCAGCTTGCCGCCGCACAACGGCGTGTGGGGCAAGCAGGGGAGATGGAAGGAAGAAAAGCAAAAACAGCTCAGTCAGATAGGCCCTCCACAGCCACCTTCCCCAGTGCTTGCCCAGTCATCTATCTACCTACCCTCCAGGTTCTATCGTTTGCCTGTGCGCCCCACTCACCTCCTTGCCGCCTCACCTCATCAAGCTGATCCCCTGTGCATGTCACCTCACAAGCTGATCTCCTGATCACCTCTTACCACCCCCCCCCCCCCTCCTCTCCCTCACTGTGTGCTCGTGCCTCACCTCATCGAGCACGTTCACAATCTCCCGCCCGCACTCTCTCTCCCTGCCGGTCACACTCGACACCAGCCACCCCCTGTTGCCATTCGCGATAGGGCCCGCTCCCCCTCCACTCTGAGGCGCACGAGAGGGAGGCGCAGAAGAGGGAAGGAGGAGGATCAAAGGAACATTTTACTTTGTTTCGACTCCAACAACAACAAGCCCGCAATCTCTCTCCCTGCTGGTCAAACTCCACACCAACCACCCCCTGTTGCCATTCGCGATGGGGCCCGCTCCCCCCCCCGCTCTGTGGGGCACGAGAGGGAGGAGCAGAAGGGGGAGGGGCAGGAGGGGGAGGGGCGGAGCAGAAGGAGCAGAGGGGGGAGGAGCAGAAGACGGAGGAGCAGAGGGGGGAGGAGAAGAATGGGGAGGAGGAGAAGGGGGAGGAGGAGAAATGGGGGAGGGGAGAAGGGTGAGGAGGAACAGCAGGGGGGGGCACGGAAGGGAGAGGAGGAGAGGAGCAGAAGGGGGGGGAGCAGAAGTAAGAAACGGTTGCAAACCACCTCCAATCCCTCCCCCTGCCAGCCCCCTTGCTGCCATACATTCTGGGCGCCGCCTTCCCCCCATTCTGGATCATAGGGTTTAGGGTGAAGGAGCAAAGGAAGAAACAATCGATCCTTCACCTGCACTCTCGCTCCCTGCCTGCTGCTGCCCGCCGCCACTTCGAAAGAGGAGATCGAGGTTGGGGTTTTGGATGCATGGGAGAGCGAGCAACAACAAAGGGTTTCGGGTTTTGGGTGCATGGGAGAGAGCGAGCAACAACCAAGAGTTTCGGGTTTTGGTTGCATGGCAACGGAGATTCGTGGGCCGGGATGTGGGAGGGAAGAGAGACGGCGGGGGTGGGGGGAGGGGAAGGGGGACAGCAGGGGTGGGGGGAGGGGAAGGGGGACAGCGGGCGACACGGGCCGGACGGGTGAGGACCAGAGGAGAGAGGCGACGGCGGGAAAATCCGCTCTGTGTAAAACCAAATGCTCAAAGCGATATCAGGACCAGAGGGGAGAGGCGACAGCGGAAAAATCTGCTCTGTGTAAACCTAAGTGATCAAGGCGATCTCAGGACCAGAGGGGAGAGGCGGCGCCGTGGGAGCACACGATGGGAGGAGGAGAAGAGAAGGGGGGAGGGAAGACGGAGGTGTGTGCGCGAGCGGGAGGAGAGGGCACGAAAGGAAAGGGGGGGAAGGGGTTGAAGAGGAAGGGCGGGAAGTGGGGCGGATCGGGCTGGTGAGCGCACGCCGCCGCGGAGATCACAGCGGCGACGCCGCCAAGATCATAGCAGCGGCGACGCGCAACGGATGCTGCCGCGACTCGCGACCGAAACGCGACTGAGCGCGCCTGCAGAATTGTCGCTGATTATCGTCGTTATTCGTCTGTCAGCCAAGAAAAACATTGGTACACGCCTGCCGGTTTATGTTGACTAATGCGTCGCGACATAAGTTTAAAGGCTCACAGCGTTCAGGTATCGCGACTTGTGCCGCTTCGATTTCCCCCGACCTCCATTACCGCTCCGATTGCCCTCCGCCTCGCGCTTTCCGCGACCCATGTGCGATTGTATGGCCGTGGCTACCGATCAAACGAGAGAAACGCTTAATGGCTGATTTGTGCACTAAAATAGAAATAACAACTCAATATAATTTCCCAGGACCAGTAGCACAATCTTCCAATCTCCCAGCATGATTTGCGGGTTCAGTACCCGTCTGGTCCTCTTGTTTTATCCACCTTAAGGCTCCGTTTCCATTCAAATCTTATCTAAAGGTGTTTTCTTACTACTCTGGGGCATTCTTCTTTCATATCATACTCGTCGTCGCATCCCTTCTTGTTGTAAGCCTCAACCATCTTGACTGGTTTTTTCCGGACGTGCTTGTCGTCTACACCTTCGTTGTGTTGCTTCGTTGGTGTAGGAGATTTTTCTTTACTGAGTTTCGCTGCGAGTCGAACAATTCCGACTTTCTAACAGAAAGGTTCGGACCTATGCCATCTAACCAGCAGCTATATCGTGTCGTTTTCATACTTCGCGCGCAACATGTGTCAAACTTTGATTTCCGAGGTCACTGCCTATTTAGGGTCCCCGTTATATCCTGCCTAGGGTTTCTTTTGTTTTACAAGGACTTTGAGGCACGTCTTTGATATTCGCTATTCCACCCACACTACTATCACAACTCACATCACTTGCTATATTAGCCATATACACAATTTAGTCAATCGGGTGTGATTGGCGACGAGGGTTGCAAGGGCTTTGAGTTGAACGTTCAAGGTTGGTCAACCACTTTTTATTTTTTTTGTGCATGGCTAGTTAGGACAGTTAGTAGCTTAATTTGATTCGAAATGCTATAATTCTCTGATATATTCACCTCTCTCATTCTATATTCACTCTAACTGTCATTTTAGATTCACCTCCAGAATTAGTACCCCCAGAACCTCTAGCAGCAACACCCTCAACCCCACCAACACCCTGAGGACCCTTAGACCCCTTGAGGTAGCACCCACAGAACCAGCACCCGCAAAACCCACACCTCCAGAGTCACCACCCCCAACAGCACTAGGGCCCGCGGATTCCACAGCGACAGGCTGCAGCGGAGGTGGCGAAATGGGGGGCGGAGATGGCTGAGGTGGAAAACCAGGAGGTGTCTCCAAGCGCGGCTGATAGCGAGAAGCCGCTGTATCGTTAGCGGCATTGTCATCCCCCTAAGCCAGGCCAGAGGAGTCTGAGGAGACCCCCAAAGGCACAACCGAGGGGAGTGGGGTGGCGTGAGACACACCTGAAGGAGCAGGACGAGGGGGGAGGGGGGGGGTCTACCTGGGGGGGACCTGGAACCAGGAAGAGACGGAGGAGGGCACAGGGCAACTGCGGTGGGGGTAGAGACGGTAGTAGAAGATCGACTAGTTAAAGGTGGCTGGGTGGTAAAACTGCCAGTCAGGCGTGTTGGCTGGAAGGCCAAGGTGTCACATGTGTTTGTATGTCTGTAGGTTGTAATGGGGTAGCCTTTACTGAGTACAACACTTAAGGGTTAGACCTAGTAATTGTACTCATCGCATGCTCTTACTCGATCATTCCTACACGTTATTTCTGACATGGTATTCAGAGCAAGTCCCTCCGTAGGACCGCTCCGTTAGGGCCCACCGCTAGCTTCGAAGAGCCCGTACTGCCCTAATCGTTCATTCCTGCCCTGCCCGGACAGCATCCCCCACGCTGCCCTGCCTGCTTTGCCCCACGCGCTCTGCCCTGCCCTGCGCGCTGCCCGCTTGCTGCTCAGCGCGCGACCCGCACGTTGCCCTGCTAGCGCCCTGCTCTGCACGCGCGCCGCCCTGCCCTGCAGCCTGCACGCTGCCCTGCCTTGCAGCCCGCGCGCCGCCTTGCCCTGCAGCCTGCGCGCGGCCCTGCCCTGCAGCCTGTACGCCGCCCTGCCCTGCAGCCAGTGTGCCGCCCTACCCTGCAGCCCGCGCGCTGCCCTGCCCGCGCTGCCCTGCAGCCCGCACGCCTGCGCTGCCCGCGCCCCACCCGCCCTGCTGCGCCTCGCATGCCTTGCTGCCCGAGGGCTGCCTTAGCTGCCAGCGCGCTACTCTAGTTGCATACGCACTGCCCTAGCCACTACACTTCCCTTCATGGCAAAGCCGCCGGCCTTAGCGGTTGACGCCGATGGACGCCCGTACAGGTTAGGGTTCTGGCTTATGTGCCTGTGCTTGCATCTCCGACGTTACATTAGAGATGGCGTCTCCCTACTTGAGTACACGTCGGGGTCACTTCCGGCCTCTCCGACTCCTACGGAGCCTCCTGATGACGCTGGTGAGGACGTGCAAAGGCGGTACCTGGCGGGCACCCTTGCCTACAGAAAGTGGACGGAGCGAGATGCTATCGCATAGCGTGCCGTCCGAGCTCTCCTGCCGGTCGACCACAGGGACCACTTTCGACAGGTAACGTCGGCCCAGACTTTGTTCGACGCTGTTGATAGCCACAACTCCTCCCTCTCTCCCGCCACTCGGCCACTACAGCAGCGGTGTCCGTTGTTGGAGGAGGTGCATCCGCTCGTCGTGGAGGAGAGTGTAGGTACCTGTACGTCTGCTCCAGCAAGTGGTGCCACTAGTGGAGGCGATGGTTCTAGAGATGGTCAGCAGCGGCAGCAGATTCAACCGGAGACCCCCTCGCCGAAGCAGCTTTAAGAGTGGTATTCTCAGCAAAACGCCCCTAGTAGTGTAGAAGCAACTAGTGTAGGTGCATGTGAGCCTGCTAGCAATTTTGCAGCTCCTGTGGAGGCTTTGCACACCTTCATGCCTGACTGAGGCGCGACTCGCTGCTTCTTCCACGACTGCACCACAATCACACCACTCACTATAC